CCTTGACATCATGTATTGGTTTCGGCGGCGATCCTCGCTCGTTTGTCGCATGACGTTTGGTGTCAACGAATACCCGACTGCGTTATGCGGAGAGCGAGCCGTCTATTCTCTTGCGTAGGGATTGCGATGACGTCAGAGCGATGCCGAGCTATGATTGGCTCTGATTGAAAGAATAGTGGGTATACAGCTCAATGCTAGATGCCTCGAGGTCTACCCACTATGTTTTTTTCAATGAGCCAATAAGAGCTTGGCGTTCTGACATCGTCGCCATCCCCGTGCAAGAGGCAGACAAACTTGTGTTCCGCATAATTCACTATTTAGACGCGAGCCTGTACGAGTGGTGAGCCCATGAGCTCCCTACCGTGGTGCCGTTTTCAGCGGTTAGACGCACGGCGGGTGCTTTGCTCGCTTTCGAACCTTTCTTATAGATGTTTCCTGTTTCCTGTTGTTCTCATGTCTCGTGAGTTCCGTATCTGGTATGCGGGACGAAAAAATCAAAACGTTTCAACCTGGAATACGCGAGAAAAAATAGGCGAGGCAAAACAAGAATGCGTGAAAATCCCGCATTTTTCGTAAACACCTTCCAGCGGCGTGGAGAAATGAAAACGATGTTTCACCGCGTACCAGAAGTGACGGCGTCAAAGATGGCTGCGCCCCTGGTGGAAAGAGGTGTATACGGCCACACCAAACAAAGTTGGGCGGAAATATTCCTTAGCCCCAACTGTGGCACCTGGAACACGACTTCGGCCGGCGTGTCTCAGAGTGTCCCCCAAGCGGAAACAGAATGCGTCACAGGAGCCGGTGTGCAATGCTGCTCGGAGTTGTTGCCGCGCGACTTGTCGGTATACGCCGCAGTCCCTCGGCACGGAAAAATTCCACAAAAGAAGAGACGCTGTTTACTGCAGACACGACGAAAACAATTATATGCGGAGCAGGTTGGAAGTACGTTTGCTTCATAAGTGGGTACGCTTCGCTCATATGCCTGTAGACAGTTCTTGCACGACCAATGCGGCACATACAAGAAAGGAACAGATCTCAGGCAGTGTTTGCAGAATGTCGTTTGTGTGGGCGGTGTTTCCACGTCTACATACAGTGTCGTAGAGGCACCGACGAAGAAGGCCAGCAAACGCGGATCGAGCTGCGGTGCGCGGGAACTGCGCAATTCTGACGTTCACCAAGCCGGAAATGGAGTTAGCAGAAATAAAGGCGTCGTAAAAGCACCGGTTCGAGGCGCGTGCCAGGCGCCGTGGTATATACACAGTAAAAGTGCGTCGTTAAATTTCCGCGTTTTGTTCTCTCCGCCATACGGGACGTAAAAGGCCGCTGTGATGGAACGACGCGCGCTCCGACGTTTGGCCCGGCCTGGCGAAAGTCAGCGAAACCACGCTAAAGTCCGAACTCCGCGTACTCTATCGCCCAGCAGCGCAGGCCGCCGAACAACCAGAGGAGCTGGGGCGGCAACGGCGACCGTGGCAGGGATCTTCGGCCCAGAACCGTATTGGTAAGAATAGGGCGATAATAAGAGAACGTCAATGGCCGAAATGGTTTCAATGACCTTGGCCGCGATGACTGACAGCTCTTGTGACCAGAGCAATACAGTGATTGTGACCAACCACTAGCCTCATATATTCCCCTAGCGGAGGCAATGAGCTTAAAAAATATCCTCCAGTAAGAATTTCAAGGTAACGATGTATTCAAGTATTTCATTTCAGCATGCTAGAGTTGATATTTGCGACTCTTCGTAGCTGAGAGGGCAACGCACGCGTGACGTTGTCGTCACTGCGACATTCAGAACGTACTCAAACTTTCTTGTGACTGCACTCGCGGCCGCGGCCACGACGAAGTGGGCAATAAAAAACTGTGGATGGACCTTTTCCACATACCGACGGCACCAGGCGGTGGCTGCACGAACTAACAATCGAGGAAGTGACCATGCGCTACCAATCCATACCGGGAGCTACGCTACCAGTTTCTTCGCTCTCCGAGCTGCGTCGCGTGCCCAACGCGAGCTTAAAGATGGGCACCCGTGGCGTTCACCCAATCGTTGTGTTTTTCCTTCCGTCCACTTTCTTTTTTTGTGTAACCCAATTATATATATGCTGCAATTACCTGGCCTAATCGCTTATCCACAGGCTCATTCCGTATTTCCTCGATTTTTCGTTCCGACTTCCGCCGCTTGGCATCGGGCGCTCGCGCGTGCGCAGAACGTTTCTCGGAAAAGGTCCATTCGGCTCCGTGGTAGTTTTGAGCTAAACCTCGAACGCGCACCCCACATTCGCAGTGTCTCCCCATGTTTGAGGAAATGTTTTCTCATCAATGTCACCTTTCCTGGCTCGGTAAACGCACTCGCACCTTAAAACTCTCCTTTCCCACCAATCTCTCACAAATATACACTCATGTACTTTCATCCTTATCCAGAAAAGAAAAAAAATAATAAAACCTGCGCCGCCCTGTGCGAGGTACTCCAAGTTGATCCTACAGCCGAAGCCGCTCCACCCCGGCTTGCGCAGGCTTCTCCCATTGACAAGTGATGCTTTTACCGCATGCGTCTGAACGGCGTGTATTCGTGTGTCATGCAGTTTCCACGTACAAAGCGAGCGCGTTGAAAAAGGGGTTGTAATATCCCGCTTAGCAACTTTTTAAGAAAATCAACTCGCTAATTTTCTTAACGCACGTGTTGCGAAGTGCTTGAGGTACTTAATACTTAAAGTACTACTTCAAGCAGCTTTAGAAAACTTGCACTTTATTTCAGGTAAGTGCTCCCCAAACTTAAAACGGAACACGCGAACAGTGTCTTTTCTCAGCGCTATCCTGAATGAAACTGAACAACGGCTTTTCAACGAAGCGCTTCGGTATGGTATCTCTGAGTATATACTTGTAGTTCACTTACAGTATTACTATTTTTCTGGTATGTTCCGAGGAAAGTACAGCTCCCAACTTAAAAGTACAGTCCAAAAATGTGGTCTCGTTAAATTTGCATAAAAAAATTATCAGAATATTGCGAGGGATATACTTTTCTCTTCAGGACCGCGAGCAGATGACGCATCGCCTATTAAAAAAGTAAAAAAAAAAAGATTATATCGCATATACAATAAAAAGATAGTCGTTTACGACAGTTTACAGGCGTCCGTCGCCCGTCCTTCGAAAGAGCGTCCAGACTCGCGATATCGCCACCGTATCAGCGGCGAGATGTTTCGGTGGCGCCCGTCTAAGTTCCCTCTTGTGAGGTCATTACCTTGCGAACAACAATTTCGTTGGTGTTTATAATAAGCACGGTGGAAGCTTGAAATCATTGCGCTCTCAAAGCACCACCGCCAACACCGCCAAAACTGAAAACTTTTACATTCCGTTTATTTCCGTCGACGAGAAATCCTTCGGCAACATCACAGTCAGCATTGGGCCAATCGTGGCAGGCCGACCACAGCGACGCTTTCGATCGCTCACGTCGTCCATAACCTCCGGACGTCTAGCCTGCTGCACGCGCGACTGCGGGACGCGGATTGCGTCGATTCCGCGAATTCTATATACCTCCGACGCGCCGAACGATTGCGTGTCTCTCTTGGCAGCAACTTCCCTCCTCCGTCTTGCTCGAGCGGCCCCGGGCCACGCGATCGGACCACCGGCGGCGCATTCCCGGGATATTGTCGTCGACGCGCTGGCACGCACTAACCGTTTCACTCATCCGACGGAGCCAATCAAACTGCACAAAGAGTGCATCGTCATGGAGCTCCTTGTCTTTCTGGATTTGCCTGTCACCGGCCAGACCCCAATCACCCGCGGAAAGAGCGCAGGATGTCACTCTAAAAAAAAAAGAAAAGTCGTGCGTCTACTTTCCCGCATAACACTCGGAGGGTCAATCACCTCAACTAATGGAGGCAGCTCAACGAATGACAATGCCGAAATATACGTTCAGACCAAAAAACGCAGTCTGAGTTGTGACATTAAGCAATGCAGGCGGGGCGTTTTGCATTGCTTAATGTCACAACTCAGACCGGGTTTTTTGGTCTAAACATATGTTTCGGCATCGTCATTCGCTGAGCTGCCTCCGTAAACTTCGGTGATTGGCTCTCCAAGTGTTGTGCGGGAAAGTAAACGCACGGGCGTTTTTTTTTTTTTTTTTTGGAGTGGTCGGCGATATGGCTATCGCCCAAGGGCGACGACCTGACGCGTGACGATGCAATTTTGGCGACGCTTGATTGGCTTCATCGGATGGTAGCGTCGTCTGCGGTCGCAGTCAATCAGAATACGGCATTAGCCGACAGGAGTGCCAAAGGACCAATCACGGAGCGAGAAGCCTGAACGTATACAATGTATCCACGCCTCGCATTTCTTCTGCTCTCGGCGTGACTTCGAAGATAAACGAGGTAGTTAAGTTGCCGTAATTGGGGTTAAAATTTGGGTAACTAAATTGCTTCCTAAATTGCAATAAAAAGTCTAAAGAGTGTATAGCCGCTCGGTTACAATTGTGAAGTGCTTTGTAACTTAATTGGACTACGGTTTACTTTTTCACGAATGAGATACGTGCACAATACAATATCCATTCTTTTTTTTGCAATGGTATGAGTTGTTACCTAATTGTCAATGCGTTAAACTCTGCCGCGCGCAGAGTGACGAATCCAAACGGAACCGGTTTTTAGTAACCGATATCTCTGCCGCGTAGAAAACTGCAGTGGTATTGCGAGCACGCACCTCGATGTCATGGGAGATTTTCAGAGCGTCTGTATAACCTTTGTGCGAGTGATAGATTTGAAACAAATTAGTGACATTAGGAACCTCGCGAAAGCCTCGCGATGGCAGCGGGACGTTTGGCAAGGAACACAGCTTCTTCAAAACGCCTAAAAACAAAAAAAAGCCCCAAACGTCGGTCACCGCTCTGAGTCTCTTCGAGGCCTTAAAGCTCTTCCTATCAGCTATCACTCGGTATTTTGTTCGTGGGTCACATATGAGCACAGGTAACCACGTGACTCTACCTTCTTTCCATTAGTGACCCGCCCACTCACCGATGGTGGTGATGACGGTGAGCGAGTAGAGGAAGGCCCCTGAGAAGGACCACTGCTGCCCGGTGCCGATCTCCTTGCCGTCATATCCGTCCTTGACGGCCGCGATGAGGCGGCCCTGGAAGTCCAGGATCTCGGAGGACACGGCGGCTGTCCAGTTCTCGCGGTACAGTACGTTGAACCGGTCCGTGATCTCCCAGAGCCGGCGCACGGTCTGCTCCCGCATGAGGATCACCTGGCTCGCCTTCTCCACCTCGTACGGGGCCTCGAGGGCGCGGAACGCGAAGGCGCCCAGGATGCTGTAGCCCACGACCAGGGCGCACAGCCCGACGTGCGAGAACAGGAAGGCCGTGAACCGGCGGCAGCACGTCTTGCACTTGTTCTCGGGCGGCAGCGACGCGTGGCGACGTCGCGAGGACCGCTTGCGCTCCATGCGAGCCCGCGCGCCGGCCGCTCGCTCAGGGCGCCCATGCCCGCCGCGCCACCATCGCTGCCCGAGCTGCCGACGACGATGCTCCTCCTCGCGGGACGCCGGCGCCGCAGCGCCCCTCTGCGCAGGCGCGGGGCTCCAACGTCGCCCCCTCGGCGGCCCGACGCTTAAAATACGGCAGGGCCCGGAGTTCAGACGTCAGCGTGGGCACCGGCCGACGCCGTCGACGCCGCTGCCGCCGCAGCGCCGGGTCCCTCACTACCACTGCCCTGACACCGCGCCAAAAGAAACAGGACGAAAAACTGGCCGCTGTCCGGCCGGCAGAACAACCGCCGAGGGGACCCGAGAAAAGAGCCCGGCGCTTCGTTTATTTCTGGGGGGAAAGTGTTTGGCGGCGAGATGAAATCTCAAGGTTCCTCGGAGCTGGCTCGTTTCGATGACCGGCCACGTGGCAGAGAGAGAGTGACGCTGACGTCATCTGCTCTGTCAGTGGTCTAGCGAAGGGGATACGTAGGAATAATCACCGGTGCTCGCCAGGAGGACGTCAGAGGTTACTTCGCGTCACTCTATTAAATACAAACACTAAAGCCTTAATCACAGAGCTCGTTCATCACACGAGAAAGATGGTGTTCGCTTTCGCTTCAGGTGATCAGGGGCGTAGGCAGGGGGAGGGGTGGGGGGCGTATGGGGATACAGCTTCTCCCCCCAATCCAGCCGACCCTATAAATTCATATACATATGCATTTTGACCCCCTCCCCCTCTCCGCACCCCAAGTCAAAACATCCCAGCCACCTCAGCCCTCCCCCCCTTCCCCCCCCCCCCCCCCCAAAAAAAAAAAAAATTCCTAGCTACGTCACTACTTCGGACATAATGACAAAATTATCCGCGTACACACGCTTCAAGCACGTTCCAAGCACATATGACATGTCATGTGTATGGCTCGAACGTCTCTAGAGACTAGAGGCAGTCCTTTGTATGACCAATGTGACGGGGGAGCCGTCGCACGAGCAAGAAACCTGCCTCAGCTGCAGAATGCCTTTTGTAGGATGTACATTTTGAGAGATGCCGCGCGGCTTAAAACATTCGTTGACCCTGTACTTTACCCCACAGCATTTGGGAAAGCCAATCCTTCCAATCTGCGACGGGCGCTCGGCGAATGAAGTCACAAAAAACACGTTAAAACCTAAAAAAAAAACATGAAAGACGTTTATAAATTTTTGTAATGTGAAATTAGTGCGCAGCTCTTGAGGAGGGCGAGGGGAGGGTAAAGAGGGGATGGTAGTTACTTATTTATTTCTTTATTTATTTATTTTACCCTCAGGGCCAGGGGCATTACAGAGGGGAGCGGTAGAAATAAACAAAAGAAACAACATGGAACAACAGTAGAACAAGACTTAGATAATAGGGAAAACATGATTACTAACACTTATACGAAACAGAGCACAATCAACAATTGATGCAAGTGATGAAGGTAACTGATTCCATTCTTTTGTGACTCTCGGAATAAGTGAGTTAAAATATTTATTGTAGCGGCAAGATGGAACGCCTACTTTGTGCTGGTGATTAGACGAGCTGAAAGGAATGATGGTGGGGTGAATAGCTGATTTCTGAGAACCGGGTTGTGGTGGAATATTTTGACAAACGCTAGTAACTCTGCGGCGATGTGTGAGGCTGGGTACAAGTAAAATGTCCTTCATTGATGTCACGCTTACGGTCCGGTTATAATTAGCCAAAATTAAACGTGCGGATTGATTCTGAACAGATTCGATTGAGTCAGTAAGGTAGGTAGTACCGGGATCGCAGATGGAGGCTGCATATTCAAGCTTAGAGCGCACTAATGTCGTATAAAGAAATAATTTTAACGAAGAAGGGCCCAGGAAAAAGTTACGTTTAAGATCACCAAGCATGCGGTTAGCGTTATTAATAACGTGAGTTACACGCAGGTTCCAGGAAAGATCGGAGCTAAGTATCAAACCCAGATATTTGTAAGAGTCTAGAAGTTCTAAAGGTGTGTTATTAAGATTATAAGTAGCAGTAAAGGTAGCTTTACGGGTTATGCGCATTAATTAGCTTACATTTTTGTAATGTTGAGTGCAATTGACCAAAGCTCGCGCCATAGAAAGTTAGAATCCAAATCACGCTGGGTGGTTTCATTTGAAATCGAACACGCTTGTCGGGGTGGATCTTTCGATTCTCTTAAAAAATATATATGTGATTGCCCCATTTATGGAAAGAACAAAACCGCTTTTCAAAATTTTGTTAAAAAATATTTTGCTTCAAAACAAATTACTAAGTGGAGCAGGGTGAAAATCGGTTTTTTACTCCGTGACTTTTCTACCCAGTTCTGTACGCTGGTATGAATACAGGAAGCATACAAAACTCACAGTAATTTTTTTGTGATCTTTTATGTTATTTCGACTATTTTTTAGTTCAAAAGAAAATACTTCTGTATATTTGTTGATTGAGGTAAAAAATACCAAACATCGTATCTTTGACAATCCGGTGACATCTTCAAAGCCTTGTAACTCATGAGTTATAACATTTGTCGCATACCAAATGCTATGCGGGTGTAGCCCTATACATGGGATATATCGACGGGCATAAGTTTCGTTAATTTTATTTTCACTGCATTTTTTATATCAAATTCGAAATATCGTCGAAAATGAAATTAACCGATATTTTGAACAAACTTTATCGAAAAAGGTCATTTTTTTATTTCGTTCAATTTTTTTTTTATTATTGCTGTCGACTTTAATTTTTAATTGGCTTGATGCGATTTCCCCATTTTTTGTTGTATCTTCTCTAGAAGTGATCGAAATCGCTCTTACGTGACAATACGGTGACAACTTCAGAGCCTTGTAACGCATGAGTTATTTTATTTGTCGCTTACCAAGTACTATGTGGGTGTAGCCCTATACATGGGATATCGATGGGCATAAGTTTAGTTTATTTTGTTTTCACGGAATTGTTTATATAAAATTTGAAATATAGCAGAAAATGAAATTAGCCGATATTTTGAACCCACTTTATCGAAAAAGGCCATTTTTTATTTCGTTCAATTGTTTTATTATTGCTGCCGATCATATAAACTTCCAATTGGCTTGATGCGATTTCTTCCTTTTTTTTGTTGTATCTTCTCTAGAAGTGATCGAAATCGCTCCCACGTTCTCAGAACGACCAAACGCAGTTTCCGCAGGCTGGCTTCTCTGCAAAGACTATACTGCTTATTTTTGAGTTCAAATGCACCGGGTAAATTCTTTTGATTGAGAACACTCGTGCTTGGCTACATATTGTATTTTCTTAATTTTTTAATGATGGAAACTGACATTCCTTAGTCTGATAGTTAGCGGTGCAGCGGATGTTCCATTATCCGACGTCTAAAGCCAGGGCACAAAGGGTGGAGAAAACGGAACAAGCTCTTCATGTAGCCAGACCGGGGTCATATATCTATTTGTGCTATACACACCTTGTAAGGCACGTACAGCACGCCCTGCCCTTCTCCGTTACACCCCGGAAGCATCCGGCATGGGCGCCAATCCATGATGTGTATTGCCTTATCGCGTGCGATGAAATAACCATGTAATTACCTTCTCTTTATTGTCAGCGTGTATATAAAAAATATGTAATATCACATGACCCTCCTTTAAGAAGGAAAAGCAGTTTGCAAAAAAAAAAGTGGGCAGTTTGCAAAAAAAAAAAAAAAATCGAGGAAAAAGGAACTGACTTTACATGAAGCGGAAACAATTTTTTACAGAACACAAACACAAATTGGCGATAAATAGTAACTTTTATTAATTAACGCAAATATATTTAGGATGCACTTCTAAAACAATATGTTGTTGTGCTTTAAATAGTCCAGTTCACGAGCAACGCAATATTGGACCATTTTGGCAACGGCATCGGCTGGCCTCTGCGGAGAAGATCGAGCGCGGGGGTGAGCTGAACTTTGTACCGCAGCGGTCAGATGCAACCGAGAAGTTCAACAGCGTGGTAAGTCGAGACGGTCAGAAAACTGGAGCCATAGCGAGCGAGCGGTGAAATCTAGATG